TTTGAGGTTGCTGTGAGCTAGGCTGACGCCGTGGCACTCTAGCCTGGGCAACAGAGTGAGACTCTGTCTCAAAAAAATAAAAATAAGAAAGTACTGTTAAGTCACGTTAGGTTAACTTTTCAATCTAGACTTAGGTTTTGAGGCAAGTTGTATCATACTGGATGGATATGAAGCAAGTCTTTGGTTTTTAATAATATTGGTGACCTTTGGTTTGTAGAAGTGGGTACAAATTGAATTTACTTTCTACGTCCTGTACTAGAGAAATAATTAATAGAGGAAGACCAAACTCCCAAGATTAACAAAATGATGCTTTATATGAAAACTGTCTATATTTAAGGGAAAATTATACCTATGAGAGAAGTAAAACTGGTACAACATATGAAGGAGGGTGTATTTCTCATGTAGTGTAAGTTGCTTGTTAAACCCACTATAATAAATTTCTCACATCTAGCGTGTGAGACACAGTATTTTTTAAAATGAGAGAACTTGATTATCAGGCAAAGCCAGGTTGAGTTATTTAACAGGGTGAGTGAGGGACGTTATATAATGTAAAAATGGATCCCCAAAGCAAAATGTGGGGTTAATTTCTATTTCCCAAATGTGTTGTGATAATTTGTTCTAAAATTAGTGATAACTTCTGTTTTATTGATTGTGAAATTATATTTTATTCAACTTCATTGTAATTAAAACCTTACTTAAGATTAATCCTGATGAAGAATAGCTATTTTTCAATTTAGGTAAGCACAGGTGTGTGAAATTCTCACGATGGCATCAACAAAATCTTTGCCCTCTAATGTTGAAATTTTTCTCTGCTATCCAATGTTGAAGTTACATCATTCTTGATAAATATTTTTTTAATTTTGTGAAATTTGCATTTTTTAGTCTCCTGTTTCAAGAGATAACAATTCAAATGCATGTAAAATTCAGGTGTACTCTATTTATTTTATGAAGTAATTATAGATTCTCATTGTAAGAAGGGTTACTATGTCTGGAGAACTGTATTTGGAAATACAAAAATATATTTTGTGGGCCACTTTGGATCTAATTGTCAGATTGTTTTATCTTGCCATAGGAAAATATGTACCTTTAACTATTTCAGATTGCCTTGATATATTTTAAAGCAAACCCATAGGACATAAAATTGATGACAAATAGAATTTTTTTTTTTTTTGAGACAGAGTCTCACTCTGTTGCCCGGGCTAGAGTGCTGTGGCGTCAGCCTAGCTCACAGCAACCTCAAACTCCTGG